ATGCATAAAGTCTAAAGAACAAAAATTGATATCGTTATGCATATAACGATTAATAGCTATTAATCGCTATATATAGATTTAAATAAACTTGATATTATTCGATAAATAGATTTGTATCGATTCATGTCTATTATTCGATAAAAATTGTTTATAGATTTGTATCGATTTATAATAGTTTATCGATATATAGCGTTATATTCTAATCGATACAAAACGATTAATTGTTATATATCGATGATTATCTATTAAAAAACTTTCCCGATGTGCTGTTGATACTAGTGACAAAGAGATAATTCAAATCCTAAAAAAATATATCAACAAGAAGAAAGATCAAGCACAAAATAATATTACAAATCAATTCTTCGATTCTTCAAATGATCTAGATAATGAAACATCAAATGAGCTGCAAATAGACAAAATAGAAGAATCTGACAATATTGCTGAGAATATTCCTACAAACCTTGCTAACGTTCAAAATCCTTCTCATGTTGTTGATAAAGGAAGACCTCTGAAGCAAAGATATCTAAGTAGCATTAAAAAAAGAACAAAAACATAGTGTAAGTTTAATTCGCGAATCTTACAAATGTCGACAGTGTGGTAAAGCTGGCCACAACTCGGCTTTCTATAAAAATAATTCCAAGAATAATCATGCTGAAACATGTAACAATTGAGAGATCAGAGAAGAGGAAGGGGAAGAAGTAGATAAATAACAAATGATAGAACCTGATACAGAAAATAAATCAGGAATCAATACTAATAAATCACACAAATAACTTTAAAATTGATTTTATCACGTAAATTATATTATATGTACGTAGCTTTGGCAATGGACATCCTTTTATAACATATATATATATTAATGAGTGCAAGATCTTTCAGTACAAATTTTATAGTCTTAATATAAATGATGCTCTTAGCTGTTAGTATCTGATAATTTTTTCAAGATTTGTGATACTTATTATTATTGAGAAAAAAGTCAACAGAAGTATCTTTGCAGTCTTTTATTTGATTCCTGTTTAATATATATTTACGTACGTATATACAATAGATCTCATTTTTTGGTTTAGCCCAATTATAGTTAGGGTTAGCCAGATTTAAAGTTAGCATTTGTTAAAATTATAAGTTGGTAAAATAGGTATAATGTTGCATTAATTATATTAGACCAATCAAATAATGTGCATTTATTTGTATAAATAAATAACTTTAATACTATATTTTGATCATTGGCTGCTTTTGGTTTATGTATGATAAAAAAATTTGGCATCACACCTTCAAGTAATATATAAATACAACGCAGGAATGCAAAGTCCAGGAAACTTCTTATTTAAAAGCCTAAATAAAACTATCTAAATAAAAAAATTAAAGTTAGTTAATTCAGTCTGGTATTTTTCCAAATTTGAAAATTGATCATACATATAGTAAAAGAATTTTCTAGAATTGATTTTCTATATAAACAATAGTATTTAATAGTATTTTTTTTATGTTCATAAAAATTTCACATAACAAAAAATTTCAAAATAATTAGTATAGAAAATCTTGGTGAAGCATGCAGTTTAGAGATCCACAGGGCTTAAAAATACAGTTGTCTTACAATAAAATACACAAACGCTGATTGGTACAAATTCAGCCTTGTCAGAGTATTTAGAATCATCTTTTTGCAGATCTGTTGCTAAAAAAGGAGCAATCTTCATATACCAAATTTGAAAACATCCTGGACTGTAATTGATAATTCTTCAGTGAACTGATTAATTATTTTAGTATAATGCAACGCAGTTCTATATATAAATTTCTTAAGATAGAAATGTGGTATTTATGCAAGAAACCCTTTTTTTTACTAAATAAATCATCTTTGGGCTTCTAACAAAAGTTGTAGAGCTCATTAAAATGTATCTAATGGTAGTAAGAATATTAAAATTGGCTTGGTGGTTCTTGAGAAATCTTTAAAAACGTTTTAACGACTATATAAAATCTTCTTTAAAAAAATCGATTTTCTTTAAAGAAAATTTATATGTTAGTAAAACATTTTTTGAAGATTTATTAAGAATCACCAAGCCAATTTTAATGTTCTTACTACTATTAGATGCGTTTTGATAAGCTCTACAACTTTTGTTAGAAGCCCAAAGATGATTTACTTAGTAAGAAAAAAAGTTTTCCTTGTGCAAACACTACATTTCTTTAAAAAATCTTCACATTTCCATCTACTGTATATGATTTACATATAGAACCACATTGCGTTATACTATAATAATTAATCAGTTCACTGGAAAATTATTAATTATATAAAAAAACAATATAAAAACTCTTTCTGACGATTTCTTGGTCAACAACAAAAAAATCAAACTATAGTAAAAAGATATAGAAAAGCAACAAAGTAGATATCACGATACTCTTGCTATATACCTACACTACTTGCTGTTGATGAAGCTTATATATATAAAATACTAAGGAGCGAGTATATAACAAAAAGTAGGTCCAGTATCTTGGGTTAAGCTTCTTTTTACAAACTGTTGTTGATGAAGTTCTTAAATATGATATATCGAAATACGAACATTGTGGATGGTTTGCACAAAAGTCAAGCCTTTTCGTCTTGTATAGTAAACTTCTTTATATATTTGGCATCTAAACCAGAAGAGTTTCTGAGAATAGCAAAGAAAAAGAAATGGACTCCCTCATATCTTTGATATCCAAACCAAAAAGAATATTTTGGGAGCAACATCCTTGTTAAGTCTTTGTGCTAAAATATCAAGTAGAAACAGAGAAACTGTAATATACTACTATAACTCTTACAAAAAGAACCTCATATACTTCTGTTAGTCCACCACTTTTTTTCAAGGAAATTTTTGTAAAAAATGAGTATTTCAGTTTACCTTCTCCAAAAGATCGATATTACATGTACCAAAATAGTCAGCATTGTTTACTTCTCAAATCAGTATAACAGGACAACAAATACATCAAGGCATGTGTTTTAAATACAACAATCTGATTAAGCAATATTCTACAACTTGGATCGAGTACTGATCCCCTACGTTTTATAGTCAAAAAAGTATTTTCTACTGGTTTTGAGCTTTCATATACTATGTAGATAAACTTAGAGTAGAGACTATTTTATTTAATAGTATGTAATTTTTATAAGCTTTTCACGAGCTCATAATAGTGATCATTAGAATAAGCAAATTTCTTTTTTTCTTTCTTTCGATATCTCCTTATCCTTTTTTCTTTCTTGCTTATATCTTTTATTGTATTTCCCTTTTACCTCTGTTTTATTTTTTGTTCTGTGTTTGTGCTTTCGTTAATTTGGTTCTTTTGATGAAATGTGTAGCTGCTAGGGCTAAGAATCAGAGGGTTCATATCCTCAGTAAGTTGAGAATCCAATATGAAGCCAATTGCTACTAGGTAGGTTGTTTTCTGAGCTTAGCTCGAGTTGATCTTTATTCACATGGAATATAGTATAGAAAATTGTATCTCTCTGTTGATATGAGTTCTAGTACTTCTCAATAAAGAGTAATAGGCAGGACCGCTAAATTAAAAAAAATATAAAAAAACAAATATAATACCAAATCAAAAGTTTAATTCAAGAAAATATAAAAAATCATCTAAATACTATTTAAAAACTATAAACAAGACAAATTAAACTTACAGTATTTGAAAATAAAATAGATATTAGTTAAATATTGTAATATAAATAAAATTTTATTAGTAATTTTTAAACAAATTTTTATTAATATTTTTTTTTAAATTTATTATATATTTTATATTATTATTGTATGTTTAATTATTTTATTAGTTTATTTATATAATTTATAGTCTATTTTATTTATTTTAGATATTTTTACAATAGTTTATTATATATTTTATTAGTACACTTTTTACAGAATTCTATTTAAACCAATATTTGCTTTAATATTTAATTATTAGTCCGTTTAACGTAACAGAGCCTAGACCAAGGCTATACAAGGGTACACAAGTACAGATAGTACTCTAGGATATTCTAGATTGATGTATTAATAATTATTTGGCTGTATTATTAATTTTAGATATTATTGTATAATGATTTATATTAGTATTACAGTGTTATTTCATAGTATTATCATAATAATACATAGTATTATTATTGTAGAATAGCACTATTTTAACTATTTTTAGTATTATTATTGTATAATAATGATTTAAATAGTAGTATAGCATTATAACTACTCAGTATAACCATCAAAAAATCACGAGCACGTGATTTTTTTGTGCCACAAACCAATCAGATAACAAGATTAGATATAATATTGCATGATCAGAAAAATTCAAAACAAATGTTCATTTCATCAAAAATTGTATTTTTCTCAAAAAGTAGTATAAGAAACTGCCATTAGTGCTTTAACAAGGATTAGTATCGCACTGTTGCAGTGCATTTAGATTATTTAGATTATAAGTAGAGATGTTAAAAGTCAGGTCTGGTCTGACTCAACTCAAAAAGTCAAAGTTTAGTCTTAAGTCAACTTGGTACTCGATTTCGCATTTTATATGTATCTTTGGAGATGAAGATAAATCATGTGATTATCAACCAATCAAATTATAGAATTTTAATGATTGCTAGTGAAGCAATACAAGAAAGAAAAATAAAAAACCTAAAAAATACAAAAAACAGTGTCAAAACCTGCCTTGGATAAGTTAAGCAAAAATATCGGAAAAAGAATTTTACATATATATAACTATCTAAAATCTAACCTAACCACTAACCTAAGATGCTTTAACCCTAAAATTAATTTAATAAATACTAATTATATAATTTATCTTTGCTTTAGACATCTCCCATCTTTGAACATTTAAATATAGCAGAAAAAGATATGTATTCATGCATAATTTGCATACATATATATTTCTTTTTAGTATTTTTTTTTGGTGCTATCTTTAATATACAAGAGTTAACATCACACTATAATAGGTCAATAAATATACTGAGAATGAGGGAGTATATAGTTATACAGCAATTTGAGTGCAGTAACATAAGGTTAATTATGCCACCTATTGGCCCTCTCATAGCAGCTTATTGTAAACATTTTTTACTTTTATTAACTCTGGTAGCACCGTAACTCACTTTTTATGGTAGCCCTGGATGATGTCATAATATTTTAGGTAGCATTCTCACAAAAAATTAGTCATGCTGTAATTTTTACAAGAATAAAACTGCATTGTAATTAGAGTTAGAAGTAAAATAACTTTATGCTTAGTAGTAAAATTTTATGAAGTGTATTTTTAATTAAGATGCAGAAGGTGGATTCTTAATTAAAATTTAGAATTATTTCAGTTATTTTTGTAAGAAAGCAGTTTTGCTTCAATTGAATATTATACCTGTTTTTGAAATTTGACAAGTCAAAAATACACGGAGGTGAGGAATTTTTTGTAGGAAAGTAGGGGTGTTCTAGATGATTCTGGTAATTAATAAAGTAGCATCTTGCAATTGATTAGTCAATTGTCTTAAGTTAGGTATAATAACCTCATGTGAATATCTAGTTCTTTTCTAGTCTATTACTGGTTTTGTTTTTTTAAAAAAAAAATATATATAAAATTATAATAAAGAGAATATGACAAAGAAACTATTTTTGATAATCAATATATTTAAAAGTTGTTGTTCAATTAGTGAGAGGTTATTTTTCACTCATTTCTAACAACTAATATAATA